GGAGAAGGGGCTGGTGTAAATGCTGCCTCTGCCTAGCACAAGGCAGGTGTCTGTAGACACTGGGCAGCTAGAAGGCTCCTGCAGGGCCCTGAGTTAGCAGGGAGAAGAGAGCGGCAGGGGAAGGACTGTTTGGTAAAAGCGCCCCACTGGCAGAGAAGCTGGTCAAAAGCCCTGTGGCTGGCCTGAACCACAGGCCAGCCCCGAGCTGGGGAAAATTCCTGCCCTAAGGAGGGAAGCGGGAAGGACAGTTTGGAAGACAGCCTGGTGTGTGCCAGAGAAGCTGAGGATTGGAAGGCGCTGAAGCCTCTGGGGTTTGCTCCCTTTGTGCTGCCCATTTCCAGGCCTGCTTTGTACCGTGCCCACGTGGCCTCCCGCGTCCCTGATCTTCCGTGAGCCTGGCCCTGGCATGGCAGCTCTGGTGGGGACTCGCCAGAGGCGCCTCCTGGACAGCCCTGTGTTTGTGTCTCCCCAGGCTCCACGTGCGGGACTACAGCGGGACGGCCGGCAGGACGAGCAGCCTCAGCCCCCCGGGGACGGCCTTCAGCACCAAGGACGCCGACAACGACCGCTGCGGCTGCAAGTGCGCTCAGATGGCGACCGGAGGTAACTGCCCCCAGGGGGCGCTGCGGGGCCGTGGGTGGGGCTCGTAGCCGACTCAGCCCTGAATGACCATGCTGAGGCTGGGAGGCGTGTAACTGGGCCTCTTCTGTCGTGGTCCATCTAACGCTCCCTGCGGGAAACGGCTCCCACTGGGTCCCGCCGTGTATTCTCCAGGATCCTTGGCCCCTGGGAACGCCTCTGTTGCTCTCCTTAGCGCTGCAGTGAGATAACGAAGGCCCTTCCCTGCCTGGGCAGCGCCCATTGCTTCTCGCGCCCCCAATGACTCCAGCTCTAGCAACGTCCCGGCCGCTCCTCCCCCAGCTCTCCCCCCCCCAGGGCGATATCATGGTACCGCCTGACTAGGGAGACACAGGAGAGCAGGAGCTCGCTGCTGGGCTTCCCTGGGCAGCGCTGGGAAAGTGACAGCCCCACAGAGAGCCAGTCAGCTCCAGCCCCCCACCTTCGCCCTGGGGCTCTGGTGCGCCGTCCCTCTGACCCCCTCTCTGTGCCCTAGGCTGGTGGTTCGATGCCTGCGGCCCCTCCAACCTGAATGGGATTTACTACCCCGCTAGCCCCGCGACAGTCCGCTACAACGGCATGAAGTGGCACTACTGGAAGGGGCCCAGCCACAGGCTCAAGGCCACCACCCTGATGATCCGGGCTGCGGACTTCTGAGAGGCCCCAGACGGGATGAGGCGCTGGGGCTGGGCCGTCCCTGCAGGGGAGCCGAGCCGGGCCGGGCTGCACCAAGGCTCCTGTGGCGCCACGTGAACGGCCTCCGGCCCCGAGGGCGAGCTGGCACAGCGCTCTGGACACCTGCTTAGCCCTGCCTCTGTACGGTGCCTCCTCCCCGCCGCGCCAGCACTCGCTCCCGGGCACCAGCCAGCGAGGACGGGCCTGAGCAGAGGCGGCCCCCTCCAGCTCGTCCAAACGCAGCCTGCGTCCAGGTCTTAATCTCCTCCCGGTTCAGGAGCTGGCTCACAAACATCCTGCTGTTTCCTGGGGAGCCGGGGGCTTGTGACACTGGGGTCACGTTGTTCAGATAAAGCATCAGTGGAGAGCGCAGCTGTGCTGGATGAGTCCCTGGGCGTGAGCTGGGGGGCTGATCTTACCCCCCAGTCTGGGTGCATCGGGGCTGGGCTGGCCCCAGCGCGCTGCCCTGTGGTCCGGGCTGCTTGGCGTGCAAACCAAATGGGCAGCGAGGGAGGGGAATGCCCAGCCCCCACCCCCACCTCCCTCGTGCTGCAGGGAGGGGCGGGGTCTCAGCCCGGGGTGAGGGTTTGCTGAGAACATGCAGCCCCTGGATCCCCACGGCCCCTGGGGACAGAAACCCCCGAGGGGGGACTGCGGAGCACTCTGGGGCTGGGAGAGGAGACGCAGACTGGCGGGGGTTGGCCGAGGGGCTCTGTGCCCTTGCCTGGTGAGGCTGCAGCGCCTCGCAACCGGCCTGTACGAACAGGTATCCCCACCTCACAGCCAGGGAAAGGCGGGCACCCAGCGGGCAAAGGATGTGCCGAGGTCACACAGGGAGGCAGCAGAGGAGCTGGGAAGAGAACCCAGGGGTCCTGACCCCCCAGTGGCCTGTTCTAAGCTCTTTCTGCCCCTCTGTCACGTAGCACAGAGTCCCGCTGAGCACGTCGCCAGGCTTTGCCAGCAGGGCCCAGCGTCTGGGGCGGTGACAGCCCCGCGGAGACGTCACAAAGCCACGAGGCGCTGCAGCGTGAAGAGGGCAAAGCTGGCAGGTTCCCTCGCCCGGCTGCTGCTCACCCCAAAGGCAGGCACCGGAAACTGGGCCAGGCTCAGGCAAAGCCCAGGGCTGGGTCGGGTCGAGGCCCCTGCACCTCAGTGAACGAGGCCCCGGGCTCAGGGTTGGCACCGTCTGGGACTGTAACAGAATGGGTGCATGGCTGGGAGGGCAGGTACGCCATGCGCAGCACACAGGGGTCTGGGGCCCAGTGAGCAGGGGGCTGAGCCAGGCGCCCCGGAAGGCAGGTGGTTTGGATTCTGGCACTGTGGTTTGTTCATAACCCCCAGCCACCAGCCACCCTCTCCAAAGCAGCTCTACAGAGGTGATGCCAGGCGACCACTCCCCGCCCACGCACACAAAGAGGGAACCCCAGACCGTGCAGGAGTCAGAGCTGCACTGGGGCCTGGGTGTGCTTTGGAAAGGCAAAGTTATGGTGCTGCTACCCTCTCCCTGGGTCTAACCCCCCCCCAAACGGCCAGTGCAGCAACGACCCCGCCTTCCCGGGGAGGAGGGGCATGCTCAGGAGTTGGCGTGGGGCACTACTCTGGCTGGCACTGAAATGCTAACCCCAAAATTGCCATGTGCCAGCAGCCAAAATGCCCATGCCTCCTGGCTCTCGCTGCCCATCCCAATGAGCTCTGTGTTCGTGAGCACTGGGCTGCACACATGGGCTTGTTACTGTAGGGTTGCTCACGAGCACTGGGCTGCACACATGGGTTTGTTATTGTAGGGTTGCATATGAGAATCTGAGTGCAGATGCAAATATGAATTTCCATGCATGCAAAGGTTGTGCGGGAAGATTTTGTGGGTCCATTTCAAAGGCCTCTTATCCACTCCAGGGGGTTAGTTTCCCTGCCTTGGCAGCTGCTCTCAGGGCAGCTTTTTAATTATCCATGTGGATGGGGCTGGCTTCTTCGAGGGCACCTCTGAACCTCCAGGGCCCTTGGTCATACTCAGCAGGGAGAGGTGAGAGCCGGGCGAGGGCAGGCGCTGCTGGCCAATCCAGACTATAGAAGCCCTCTCAGCTCAGTGCCTGGGGAAGGAGCTAGGCCGTGCGCACAGGGCAGTAGCTGGCCTGTGGGAAAAGCCGCCCCTTTACTGTCCCAGGTAAAAGCTGACCTGAAAAGAACCTAGCATTAAAATTAGCCTGCTGACGCTCCCTGGACTCAACCAAAGAGGTTCTCCTATTTCAATTCCATTGCAACATTAGCCAATTTGAAAAATGTTGTAGCCCATCGAGTGTGTTAGATTTCAGCTTTAAAATCTAATTGGCCCCCTGGCAAATTCATAAACTAGCCCCACATCAGCACGTAGAGCTGTGGGCTATGCTTGGCATTTCTGACCTCCTAGTGTGCTGCATTAGGACAGTGGCCTTGGCCTCGAATCCCACCAGGTGCAGCAATTTCATCTCTTCCCCCCAGTGGCTGGGCGGCAGGGGGCTGTGGCGAGAGAGAGGCTGAGCGAATGGGAAACTGACACAAAGTGTTCTTATGGCTGGTGGTGCCAGGGGATTCACAGGGCACAGCCTGAGCTGGAGAGGATGCCGCTCCAGAGGCAGCGTCTGCTGTTACCATCCCGTCGACACGTCAGACAGTTCACCCCCCTCCCCTGCAGCTGTGAGCACTGCCGTAGTAACATCTGGCCACCTGTCAGCGCCCCGCAACCACCTGATGTTGGATAGGGGAAGAGGGCAAATTGTAGGATACGGGCTGTAGGGTGCTGGGGAGTTCACTGGATGCCCCCCAGCTTCCATGGGCTCTGATACAAACAGCCCCCGAGCCCGGCGCAGGGGGACATGATAGGCCAAGGGGGCAAGTGAGCAAGGGAACCCCGCTCCCCATGGTGCCACCTGGAGGCTGAGGACCCAGGCATGCTCCCCCCGCCCCCCATCACACCAGCTGTGCCCGACCCAGCTGCTGCCAGGGGCTGTTGGAGCCCATATGTAAGTGAGCCCTGCCCTCTGCTGGCCATGCCAGTCCAGCCGGATACAGGTATCGAGATGCCCAAGGCCCGATGCCTGGTTCTCATCTCCCTGGGCGCAGGTAGGGTGACCCCGCGGGGCTCAGTGCACTCCCACCAGAACCAGGCCGGGGCTCCCCCGTCCAGCTGGGGTTTCCAATCCAAGTGAGAAGTGCTGCCAGGATTCCTTACGACTCTTCCCCCAACCCCCGGCTGTTGGCGCATGGCCCTGCCCTCGTCTGCCTGTGCCCTGAGAGCCGGATCCAGCGGAAGCAGCTGGCCTGGCCTCCTGGCGCAGGGCTGCAGGGACTGTGGGCACTGCACCCACAGCCCAGCCTGCTTGGGAAGGGCGCCAGGCCTCAGTAAGCGCTGACACCGCTCAGCAAGGTCTGTGCCACGGGGCGCCTGTGGCAGCAGCTGGACCCAGCCCAGAATCCAATGCAGGGGGCCAGCCCCCCCCAGACCTGCCTGCAGCCAGCGCTGCTCACCCAATGCACAGTCCTGGGGCAGGATCCCACATTGCTGCGGGCAGGGGGTGGGCTCTGCTGGGTCACAGAAGCTCGCCCGAGGCCTGGCCTGGATGGGGCTGGGGGCTCAGGCTGGCACCAGCATTGCGAGGGCACCGCCAGGCGCGGCCCCTGTCTCCGCCCGCCAGTGCGGGGGTGTCCCGGCTCCTCCCCAGCGCCGCCTCCCTCCGCCGGGCTTCCGGGAGCCCTCGTGATCCGCTCCGCAGCCACCAGCGCCGCGCAGCCCGCAGCGAGCCCCGCTCGGCCGGTGACTGACCCGCGGGGCGGGGAGCTGGGCACACGCGGGGGGTCGCTGGCGGGGCCCGGAGCTGGGAGCGCCCCGTGCGCCCGGGGCGAGCGCCGGTTCGCCCGCCCCGCTGCAGCTCTTTGGGCGCCCCAGGCCTTCCCCAGTCACCCCCGTTGCAGGTCTCGGGGGCTGCGTCTAGCAGGGTTCCCCGCTCCCTGGCGGGGGGGTTCCCCGGTCCTGCCAAGCGTGGTTAATTGATGGGGCCTGGGGGCTCCGGTGCGGGCGTGGCGCGGAGCTGTGCCACCTCTGGTGCCATGGCTCTGGGGTGGTTATCGCAGCCCCGACCTGGGGCGCTCCCCAGCCTGGCACATGCCACACGGACCGTGGCCAGGAATTCACTCTGTTGCTGTGTGCGGGGCTGGGGGCTGGCCCCACTGGTAAATGACATGTTTGAGGCTGGAGAGCTCCGGGCGCGGCCTGTGGGAAGCCCCAGATGGTGGCCGGTGGCTGCAGGATTTATGGGGATCCCTCCGAGTGGGGAGCTTGGTCTGGGGGCGCTCAGCCTCGCTGGAACCAGCTGCGAGTCCAGCCCCTGCCCCAGCTGTGCCAGGGCCCCTGGGCTGGGGCTGTCGGGTGCTATCGATGGATGTGTTCTCTCCTCAGCCGGTGCCCTGTGCTGGATCCTCAGCGCCATGTGCTGGCTCCGTGCTGCGGCCCTGCTGCTCTGGGCAGGGCTGGGCCTGGCCCAGGATTACCCATTCCGGGACCCCACCCTGCCCTGGGAGCAGCGGCTGGACGACCTCATCGGGCGGCTCACCCTGGGGGAGCTGGTGCTGCAGGTATGGAGAGGGTCTCTGTAGCCAGAACAGCAACCCCACTGACAGGTGCATCCCTGGGGGGGGGGGGGGCGACAGCCTCTGCTCTCCCCATGGCGGGGGGCAGTGAGGCGAGGGCAGCATCCTTGGGGCCTCGGCGTCCCACTGTGGGAGTCTGGGCCTGGCAGGGCACCCTATAAAGACCCTCGGTCCGAGGGGAGGGAGCTGGGAGGGAGCCCAGTGGCGTGGGGTTTCTGAATTGCAGGGGGTGGGTCAAGCTGGGTGCCCCTGGAATCTCCCATCCCACAGATCCCACCCCCAGGTGGTGCCTCCCCAGCCCTGTCCATGTCTCCTGCTGGGACGGAGAATCAGATCTGGCATGGAAGAGCCGAGCGTGCCGGCTACCCCATCTCTCTGCAGGGCCAGGCCAGGTGAACAAGGGCAGCCCCTTGGCAGAGTGCCCAGCCTCATATGTCCCTCAGTGCCCCCCTTCACCTCTGGTGTCTGCCCCACAGATGGCGAGAGGTGGCGCTAAGTACAACGGGCCAGCGCCCCCCATTGAGCGGCTGGGGATCAAGCCCTACAACTGGAACACCGAGTGCCTGAGGGGGGATGGGGAAGCCCCCGGCTGGGCCACGGCCTTCCCCCAAGCGCTGGGCTTGGCGGCCTCCTTCAGGTACTGTCTGAACAGGGGGGCCCCCGTGCTGCCATGTCTGGGTGTCCCCCTAGGCCGTGCTGGGGCCTAGCCCAGCGCAGGCTCTGTGCCTGGGCATGTGTCTGCCCCAGCTCTGCCCAGGGCAGGGGCAGCTGCTGTGGCACTGAGGGGACCTGTGCCATCTCTGGGCACAACCCTGGCTCATCCCCCGATGCTTCAGCTGCTCTTCCCTCCCCCACAGCCCCGAGCTCATCCACCGCGTGGCCAATGCCACTGCCACGGAAGTGAGAGCCAAGCACAACTACTTCATGTCCACGGGCATCTACGGTGACCACACGGGCCTCAGCTGCTTCAGCCCCGTGCTGAACATCATGAGACACCCGCTGTGGGGCAGGAACCAGGTAACAGCCGGACCGGGAGTGGGGTGGGGGAGGGGGAGTCCAGGACTGGGAGAGCAGGGGGCTGTGGGTGGGACTGAGGGACATCAGTAGAGCTGGGATGGGAGGACTGGGATAGCAGGGGACTGTAGGTGGGACTGAGGGGCACCGGCAGAGCTGAGGGAGGGGGAGCGCAGGGGCTGCGGGTGGGACTGAGGGGCACCGGCAGAGCTGGGGGAGGGGGAGCGCAGGGGCTGCGGGTGGGACTGAGGGGCACCGGCAGAGCGGTGTGTGCCCTGGTATCCCCTCCCAACACACCTCGCACTTTCTCCCTGCCTGAATCCAGATGTGTTAGGGCCCCTCTGGCAGACCCTGCAAGCTCCCTCCCTCTCCCCCTGTGGCTTGTGGCCCCTTGGCCTCTGTGCTGAGGCTGCCCCATCGCCCCTTGCACTAATGTGTCTGAGATGTGGGCCCACGAGGGACTGCAGAGCCCTGCTCCTCCCCCGGGTCTCATTTCCCCAAGTCCCCAGGTGGCGGCAGCTCCAGGACTGTTTGGAAGGGCAGGTGGGGAATTGGCAGCTGTCGCAGAGCAATGAGTGATGGGGCTGGGGGGAGCAGGGGTTGCATCCCCACAGCCAGCGCCCCAGCAGCGGGGGGAAGGGGGCGGCAGCAGCAACGCGTGTGTCTGTCTCTCCTCAGGAGACGTACGGCGAAGACCCGTTTCTGAGCGCAGAGCTGGCCGTGGCGTTCGTGCAGGGGCTGCAGGGCGATCACCCCCGTTACGTCAAGGCCAGTGCCGGCTGCAAACACTTCAGTGTGCACGGGGGGCCCGAGAACGTGCCCGTCTCCAGGCTCAGCTTTGATGCCAAGGTGAGTGCAACGCTCCCTGGCCGTGAGAGACCCTTAGCGCGAGAGTCTGGTCTGTGCCTGCTGGGGGTCAGCTCCCCTGCTCCTCCGGCCACAAGCGCTGCCCCACAGGCCCCGCTGGCTCATTACAGGCTAGCGATAGGCCCACTCCAGCCACTGGACGCATGCAATATTCACAGGTTTGCAGCTCCCAAAGGAGCAGGCCAGTTCCACCTCCGCTCACCACCCTGCTCAGCACCCAGCGCTGGGAGCCCTGGGCAGTGAGAACAAGGGAACGGTTATTTAACACAGCCCAGAGATTGGAGTGAGCAAGTTGAGTGATGGAAACAAACTCAAATAAACTCGTCACACACACGCTAGAGCAGGCCTGGGGTGGGGGGCAGTCTCCATCCCTGGTCAGCTTCACATCCACGTGGGAAGTTTGTCTGAAGATCTGCTCCAGGAACGATTGTAGGGCAGGTCTCTGGCCGGCGCAGTACAGGGGCCCGTCTGGATCCCAGCGCTCCCTTCTGGGCCGGGAATCTCTGGAGGTGTGAAGAACCCCGGCTTGTTGAACCAGCTACTTTTCTGCCTGATCGAGCAATGCTCACCCACCATCCTTCCAGGCTTGGCTGTGATCTTCGTTCAGGAGACAAGTCACGCTGTCAGCTTGCCTGCTAGGTGAAAGTTACTGTGTGTTTCCTTGCGGTACCTGATATACCAGACGAATCCTTTGATCTTAGTCCTAAGCAGCGCTCCCGCCACGCCTGCCTGATTGTTTTTCCTGTAGGTTTTTTCTCCTGGAGATTTCACAATCCTACCCCTGGTGCCTGGCTTGGTGTGCACATAGGCATCCATTGTAAGACCTACGATGCACAAACACATGTGACCAGACAGATAGATGAGCGTCTGTCACCCCTTGCCTGCAAGGATCCTGGCTGAGGTGTGTCACCTCCCGGTGATCTGCCTTATCTTCAGAACGTACTTTTCAGTGTAGGTACAGGACGCCTGAAATATGACCCGTATACACATTTACGACCAGTGGGAGAGACCTCACATGCCACCCTTGGGTGCATATATCTGGCCTAGGGCATCCCTGTACGATTCTGTGGTCTCTGGGTCCCGGTGAGCTCCGCCAGGGCTGATGTTGGGGGCCACGGGGTGGGGATGGGGTCTGCGCCAGGCTCGAGGCCCTGACCGAGTGCTCTGCGTCCTGCAGGTGCAAGAGCGGGACTGGAGAATGACCTTCCTGCCCCAGTTCCAGGCCTGTGTGCGCGCTGGCTCCTACAGCGTCATGTGCAGCTACAACAGGTACCGGGCGAGGCAGGCCCGCGGCCGGACAGGCACCGAGACGGGGCACGCGGCTGGGGGGCTGTGCCCGGGGCAGGGGTCTCTACAGGCCGCTCCTTGCCCGTGCTCAGCATTAGCTTCTCCTGGAGGAGACGAGGGCTCTTCTCATCCACACACCCCTCTGCCCTGGAAGGGGGCAGGTCAGCAGCCTGAACCCCACCGCAGCTGTACAGCTTTCGAGCTGAGCAGGGTTGGCTCTGTTTGGGATTTGGATGGAGTCCCCAAGTGGCTCAGGAGGGGGCGCTATTCCACCCACGTCTCTGTTGAGCCAATGCCCCTGCATGCTGCTCGGGGGCGCTGTCCTCTAGAAGAGAAGTCAAACCTCGGTCCTCTCCCTCTGTCATTGCTAGTGATCTCATGGCAGTTCCGGGGCGAGTCAGGGCGGGAGCCCCGTGGCCTGGGGTTCCCAGGTGGGCAGTTACATTCTGCTGAAGTAAATCCCCCTGCAATTCCAACTGAGTGCAGCGTTCTCCTTCACTTCCTGTCCCAAACTGCCAGGCACTGTTAAAACAGCTGCCGCACCCCGCCCCAGAGGTGGCTGCATTCGGCATTGCAATAACTGCCAGACCCAACCCGGCAGGATCAACGGCGTGCCCGCCTGCGCCAACAAGAAGCTGCTGACAGACATCCTGCGGGCAGAGTGGGGCTTCCAGGGCTACGTGGTGAGCGACGAGGGGGCCGTGGAGTTGATCATGCTGGCCCATCGCTACACACACAGCTTCCTGGAGACGGCCATCGGTGAGCCTGGACGCACACAGCCCACGGCCCAGGAGCCTGGCCCCGCTTGGCCGAGAGCTGCCTGGGCTGGGAGCGAGGCAGGGCCCAGCTGCTGCTGGTGCTACTGGAGCAGAACTGGCATCTGAGGGCAGGGGCACAGTCAGTGGGCGGGGGCGGGATAAGGTGGGCACTGGTTTGATGGTCAGGACTCCTGGGTTCTATTCCCAGCTCCGCCACTGACCTGCTATGTGACCTTGGGCAAGTCACACACACACACATTGCCTCAGTTTTCCCTCTGTACAAACCCTCCTGCTCCCCTTCCCAAGGGCCCGCGAGGCCTAGTTAACAAGGGTGCTGGAGCCTCAGTTCAAGAGCTGAGCTCATTGCCCCCAGCCTGGCAGGCGCAGAGGGTTGGGGGCCCTCTGGGGGGGGGGGAAGGGGGGCAGAGGCTGAGCCCAGCGGTAACTCGCTGTTTCCTGTCTCTCTGCCACGCTGCAGCCTCGGTGAACGCTGGCTGCAACCTGGAGCTGTCCTTCAGCCTGACGGAGAACGTCTTCATGAGCATCAGCGAGGCTGTGGCCAAGGGTAACATCACGCTGGAGGTGAGAAGCTCTGGGGGCAGCGTGGATGGGACACCCCCCACCGGAGCAGGGCATGGGGCCGGCAAGCTCAGCACCAGGGGCCCCGGGCCCCAGGGCATGGACTTACTTGGGCTGGGTCACCCTGCTTGGGCTGGGAGAGCGCCGGGTACCTGCGACTGGCGGGAGAGTGGATGTGGGGTGGGAGCCCGTCTCCCCCAAGTCTGAGCTTGAGCCACCCCCTGCGCCGGCATGACTGGGATGTGGGGCTGCAGCGGCCCCCCCAGATCTGAGCTCTGGCTGCCCCCTAGCCGGTGTAACGGGATCTCGCTGCCCTTTTCAGACGGTGAGGGCCCGGGTCCGGCCACTCTTCTACACACGTCTGCGGCTGGGGGAGTTCGACCCCCCTGCCATGAACCCCTACAGCGCCCTCGACCTGAGCGCCGTGCAGAACCCCACCCACAGGAGCCTTGCCGTGGAGGCCGCCGTCAAGAGCTTTGTGCTGTTGAAGAACGAGGGGGGGACGCTGCCCCTCAGCGCCCAGGCCCTGGCCGGCAAGCGCATCGCGGTGAGTGTCCTGCTCGGGGCGGGGATGGGGGGACCCACTGGGGCCGTGGTGGCTGGGAGGCTGCGGGGGAGCCCAGGCTGACCACCCAGCAGAGCACACAGCCCCTGGCATCCTCAGTCACTGCCTGCCCTGCCCCAGAGAACCACGGCCGCACTGGGGCTCCCTGCCCCACACCGGACACCTCAGCTGGGGACTGCGTGACACCAGGGGCACCCTGCCATGTTGACAGCCTGCCAGGGGCCCCACAGCCACACCCCCCTGGAGCAAGCTGCAGCCCCCCACAAGGGTGCCCTGTGCAGACTGCGGGTCCTGGCGGGCACTGGAGCCTGGCTGATGAGAGCAAGAGGGAGCAAGGCGTGGTGGGGCCTGGGGACCCGGGGGGGACACTGCACGGTGTGGGGGCACTGCACAGGGAGTTTGGGGCAGGCACTGCTCGATGGGGGGCAGTGGGCGCTGCATGGGGGGGCGGGTACTGCTCGATGGGGGCAGTGGGTGCAGCATGGGGGGGCGGGTGCTGCTCGATGGGGATGGGGGCGGTGGGTGCATCATGGGGTGCAGGCGTGGCTCGATGAGGGTGGTGGGCGCTGCTCGATGGGGGGCAGTGGGTGCATCATGGGGGGGCGGGCGCTGCTCAGTGGGACCTGGGGGCTTGGACGGAGGCTGCACAGTGAGGGGGGGGCACTGCACAGGTGAGCTTGGGGCGGGTGCTGCTCGATGGGTCCCAGGGACAGCAGGCGCTGCGTGGGGCAGGGGAGAGTGCGGGGGGGGGGGGGGGGGCCCGGCGGGCCCCCCCCCCGAGTGGGGCTCAAAGCTGCCAGGGGCTGCATTAGGCCAGCGCTTGACCCACCCAGCTCATTCCATGGCCCCCCTGGCCCTCCTCCCCCCGGCTTCTGTGCGCCGCCTGGGCCCTGGGGCTGCCAGGGTGGAGCGGGCGGCTCCTGTCCCACCCTCGGCTGTTTCCCCTCCTCTGCAGGTCGTTGGTCCCTTTGCCGACAACCCCAGGGTGCTGTTTGGGGACTACGCGCCCATCCCGGACCCCCAGTACATCTACACCCCCAGGTAGGGCAAGAGCAAAACCCACCCCCCATCGGTTACTGGGATTCCCCAACCCCGGAGCTCAGGCCGCTGCCCTGATCCATCCGTCAGCTGGGTGGGGAGGGTGCGGTGGCATTTCTCTGCTCTGCGGGCTGGGCACATGGCACTGCTTGGTTCCTGGTCCGAGCCGGGCAGCTCCCAGGGCAAAGGGGCATCGGTGGGACTCCCCCATCCCCGCCTGACACCTGGTGCAGAATTGCCCATTGGTCCCACTCGGCCCTGCCGGAGCGGCGGATTCTCCGTCTGGAGGCGGGTGCCTGGGTGCCAGCACTGGAGGGGGGTGCCCGGCCCCTGTATCAGTGACGTTGCTGATGGCAGGCTGGTCCCATCCCGGTGCAGGAGGGGCCTGGAGACCCTGCCAGCCAACGTCAGCTTCGCCGCAGGCTGCAGCGAGCCCAGATGCCAGTACTACTCGCCGGGCGAGGTGGAGGGGGCGGTCCGGGCAGCCGACGTCGTCGTGGTGTGCCTGGGCACAGGTATGGGGGGCGAGGGCAGGCGGGGGGGCAGCAGGGTCCCCGGGCAGTGATGGGTGGCCTGGTCCGGATCTGAGGGGGTGGGCTCAGCCGCTCTGGCATTTGCCTTCCTGCCCCCCCCCCTCCTCCCCAGATCCGCAAGAGGCTGTGGCAGAGCCTGGCACGGGGGCAGGGCTGGGCCCGTGGACTCAGGACTCAGGCTGCTGGTTGTGTGCGGGGCCTCCCACCAAGACAGCCCGCGAGTGCCCAGGGCGGGTAGGGCCCGGGGCCCCCTGCCAGGCTGCCTGCTCCCCAAAGGGTGCGGCGTGAGCTTTTCCTCAGCATGGCAACTCCCACAATTCCTCGCTCCGCCGGGAGCCCTTGGCCAAGGGGACCAGGATGCTCCCCTCACATCATGTCCCCGCTGGGTCGGGGGGTGGAGATGAGGCACATGCTCTGCACGGGGGGCGTGACCCTGCCCCTGGCAGCCCAGGGCGGGGGCATCACAACTGACTGGCGCTGGCTCTTCCTGCTCAGGGACTGACCTGGAGACAGAGGCGAACGACCGACGGGACCTGTCCCTGCCTGGGCACCAGCAGGAGCTGCTGCAGGACACCGTGGCCTGGGGTGAGGTGGTTTGGGGCGCACTCAGGGTATGTCTACACTACAGGATTAATCCGAATTTAGATAATTCGAATTTGGGAAACAGGTTGTATAAATTCGATTGTGCACGGCCACACTAAGCACCTTAATTCGGTTTTTAACCACATTAATTCGGTGGTGTGCGGCCACACTACCCCATTAACTTAAACACAGTAATTCGGTGGTGTGCGTCCACACTAACCCTAATTCGAATTAACAAAATCGATTTAGGCTCTACTCCGTTCGTCGAGGTGGAGTACAGAAATCGATTTAAAGGGCCCTTTAATTCGAATTAACTGGCTCTGTAGTGTGGACGGGTGAAGGGTTAATTCGGATTAACGCTGCTAAATCCGAATTAATCCCGTAGTGTAGACCAGGCCTCACACCCAGGGGCCTGCAGGGGGTGGAAATCTGGGCACCCGTGAGGAGCTGCCAGGGGGCTGGATGTGTGGGCACAGCACCCCCTGAGGCTCAGCCCAGCCCACCCTCGGGGGGCCCATCTCCCCATTGCCCCTGCGTGTGGGTGGCCCTGGAGGGACTGAGCTCAGTGCCCTGCGTGCCCAGCCCAGAGACCACAAGTGATGGGCTCCCATGGAAGAGCCCAGTGGGACAGAGAGTTGGGGTATTCGGAGCATCGCAGACCTCAGTCGGCCTGGTCTAGGATTGAGACCCCAACATGCACTGCCCCACGGGCTTCCCTGAGCTAGTGTGGGGCCCCGGTGTGCTGTCATCCCCCAAGCTGCCATGCCAAGGGAACGGACTCTGGACTGACCTGGCCTGTCCCTTCCAGCCGTGGGGCGCCCTGTCATCCTGCTGCTGTTCAACGCGGGGCCACTGGACGTGGGCTGGGCCCAGGCCCACCACGGAGTAGGCGCCATCCTGGCGTGCTTCTTCCCAGCGCAGGCCGCGGGCATCGCCATCATCAAGGTGCTGCTGGGGGAGGAGGGGGCCAGCCCGGCGGGCAGGCTCCCGGCCACCTGGCCAGCTGGCATGGACCAGGTAAGGCCCAGGGGCACCGGTGCTGGGGGCTCGGAAATCGGAAAACCCCCAGCTCCCCCACCTATTCCTGAGGCCAGCTTGGCACCATGCCCCCCATGCCCACAGGGCACCATGGCCTGTGGCTGACATCTTCCATCCCTTGTGGCTGCAGGTGCCAGCCATGGAGAATTACACCATGGAGGGGCGCACGTACCGGTACTATGGGCCAGTGGCCCCGCTCTACCCCTTCGGCTACGGACTGTCCTACACCACCTTCCTCTACCGGGACCTGGCCTTGAGCCCCACAGCGCTGCCCCTCTGCGCCAACCTCAGCGTCTCCGTGGTGGTGGAGAACACCGGGCAGAGGGATGGTGAAGAGGTGAGAGCTCTCCCTGCCCCGGATCGGGGGGGCTGTGAGGCAGGGCATGGCTTGGGGGGAATGGGATTGTCACATGGGCCCTGTGCCAGGCCAGCACTTAGCTCTGATGGCTCCTCCCCTGTGGGGCCGGGGCGGTCAGGAGAGGTGGCCCCCTGCTGACTCCTGTGGCATTGGGGTGAGGCAGTGCCATGGTTCTGCCCCAGCCAGTCTCTCAGGTTGTCTCTGAGGGGTGACGCTGCCCATGGAGAAGCAGCACCTGGCAGTCCCTGCTGGCCTTGCCCTGGGCGCTTGGCTCCCCGTTGCTGTTCCTAGCCCACCTCTCCCCTCCCTGCAGGTGGTGCAGCTGTACCTGCGTTGGGCGCAGCCCTCCGTGCCGGTGCCCCGCTGGCAGCTGGTTGGATTCCGCCGGGTGCCCGTTGCCGCAGGCCGGGCGGCGAAGCTGCTGTTTCTGGTGACCTACGTGCAGCGTGCCGTCTGGGCCGAGCAGTGGCAGCTGGAGCCGGGCACCTTCACGCTCTTTGTGGGCGGGCAGCAGCCGGGCCAGGAGACACGTGCCAGCTCCGAGGTCCTGCAGGCGGCGTTCACTGTGACCGGCAGCACCCGACCCCTGAGCCGCTGCTAGGGACAGGGACGGTTTCTGGGGCACTGGAATGGGAACTGCGGGGGGCTAGGATGTGGCCATGTGCGTTGGGACTGGGATCTGGCCCAGCACCCAGCTGGCTGTAGCAGGAAGCGGGGGCACATGGCTGTCTCTACCAGGGTTGGGAGGGCCGGCCCAGCACCTGGCTGGCTGTATGCGGGGGCCCGGCCGGCACTTGGCTGGCTGTACTGGGGGGGGGTCGGCCCGGCACCTGGCTGGCTGTACTGGGGGAGTCGGCCCGGCACCTGGCTGGCTCTACTGGGGACAATGGGAGCTCATTCACTTGATGCACAATAAACTTTGCCCAGCGTTGACCCCTATGGAAGCTCCAGCTGGAAATGGGGGTGCTGAGGGACTGGGCTCCCCCATCTTTCTCTGCCAGCCCCTGCCTGGGCCTGGCAGCGCTGTTCCCCGCCTGCAGCCATGCACTGCAGGCCAGCAGGGGGCGCTGGAGCCATGGCACAGGTTGGAGGGGGTCCTGGCGGGATTGCATGGGCCATGTGGCCGCACACTCCGGTGAGCACTGCATCCACCTGGGTGCTGGTTGAACCCCTGCTATGTAGGAGCCCCCCCCAGACCAGAGGGGTGCTTCTCAGATAGGCCCCTTCCCCCCGACCTGACCCCCCAGCAACAGCACTCCCAAGGGGGCCACGTCTCCCCCACTGTGCCCAGGCGACAGGAGCGACACAAAGCTCCTGGCACCGGGATGGGACGTGCTGACCTGCCCTGCCCCCAGGCACCCTCCTCCCAGCTGTCATGCCCCCCTTTCTCCGCTGGGTGGCGCCCCCCTTCCTTACAGCCCAGCCAGGCTCTGGCCAAGTGCAGGGAGGGGCTGGGAACGGGGGCTCGCCCCTGCCAGGGGCATTGCTCCGTCTGGGCTGGTCTCTCCAGCGCCCGTCCCTGTGGGCTCTGCCCGGATCGCTGAGCGCTCGCAGCACCAGCGACCCCCAGATTCCACCACAGACAGGGCAGCCCCGGCAGAGAGAGTGACTCACCGATGGGCACACAGCCAGGCCAGAGCTGTGCCCAGTGAGCGACCTTGCTGTGGGCGCTGCCCTGGGGCAGGAGCTTGGCCGAGCGGGCAGCCCTGCCACCTCCCGGCCCAACGTCTATGGGTCGGCCATGTCCCAGGGCCCTGCTGCCGCAGGTGCCACCTGGTCAGGAGAGACCTGGAACCCAGCTCCCTCCTCCCCAGCCTGGCACAGCAGGGGATGATCCCAGCCCACATCCCCTCCCCTCCTGCAGGCTGCAGGGGCCAAGCTGGCTGGCTGAATAGAGGTGGGAGGTCCCTGGCACTGGCAGGCTCACTGGCCCCACCAGCGTGGGGGCTGGCTGGCTCAGGAATGGGGCAAGGAGCTGTTCCTGCCTGGGCAAGCCCTGCAGGCCAGCGCAGGGCAGGGAGAACCAAGGGCTGGCAGCGTGTGAAATGAGTTACCAAGCTCAGTCCGGCGCCAGGGGACAAGGATGGACACGGGAGCCGTGCTGGGGGGAGGGGGACAGTGCAGGGGGAGGATGGGAGGATGTGGGGGCAGAGGGGTGGATGTGTGGGGGGAGGGGGATGGCAAATCCTGATAGCTCTCCCCCTTCCGCCTGGCAGCATGCCCCCCTACACACACACAATGGGCAGGAAGGGACGGGGAGTCCCACAGCTGCCTGAGGTCAGCAAGCCCCAACAGGAAGGGGCGGCCCTGGGAATAGAGCAGGCAGTGGAAAGGGCCCAGGCCGAAACTCAGTCGCTGGCCACGTGCACCTCCCCAGAGCTGGGGGGCACTGGGGGCCGGGAGTGCCACACCAGGGTAGGGCTGCCCTCAGGGCACGGCAGGGATGGATGGGGCTGGCTGTGTGGTCACCTAGGCTGGCACGCCCGTCCCTGCGACACACGTGTGCACCCAGGCACATGCCGTGCACACACGTCCCGCCCTAGCCCTGCCCTCCTTTGATTTCTCTATGATAGCAGGGGTGGGGCTGGGTACTGGGTGGGGAGAGACCATTTGGGGCATGGCACGGGGGGGCAGTTTGGCCCCTGGCACCCGGTGTGGGCCTTTCCCAGCCCCACTGCCTTCACAGCTGCTCCCTCTGTGGCTCTGTACGTTACTGAGGCGGCGTCTGAGCGGGGTCTGGGCTGAGCCAGAGGGAGTCAGACCCCGGCTCACGCCAGCCTCAGTCCTGTCTTCAGGGGAAGGATGGCGCAGGGCCCTGGCTGTGCCTGGGGTGCCGTGGGGCTGGAGCGAGCATGGACCCAACTCCCCCTTCCACGCAGCGGGGCAACAAAAGGGACCCGGCAGGGCCCTTGCCAAGGGCTTGGGCCTGCCCGGTGTGGGCTCTGCCGGAGCCAATGCTGCTGGCAGGGCCGGCTGGACAATGCCATGGTGGCACCAACAGGGGCACAGCTCTGTGCTCCTGCATCCCAGGCGGTGCAGCCTGCTTCCTAGCAGGAGCAGCTGGGGCCAGGCGGTGGCCAGCTCCATGGATGCCCCCCTCCCCTCTGTGCCAGGCTGTGTGTGGGGACAGGTCAGGTTACACTGGCCTCTGCCCCCTGCCACAGGGACTTTCCCAAGGGTGAGGGCTGCAGACCCCCGTGCGGCGGGGCATGTGGCTGATCTGCCAAACGGCTCAGGACTGGGGCTTGTGGGCAGAGAAGGGTGAGGACGGGGCTCCTTGCCCAGCTCTCCCCAGACTCGGGGGCCGGGTCCCCACAGGGCTGTACGGTGCCACGCAGGGATCAGCGGCACTGGGGGCCACGGGGTGGAGGCAGATGCTGCGCCTGGGATGGAGCTGGCACTTTCCATCTGAGAAGCCCAGGGTGCTGCCCAGCTCTCTCTGAGCTGTGAAAGGCTGCTGAGGGATCCTTTATCTCCCCACGGAAGTGCAGCTGCCTCTGGGGTGTGCTGTGGAAGTTGCTTAATGGCACACAGCAAATGCTGCCCAGCCAGTTAGGGCGGGGAGCGACGCTTGGCGCTGGATCCCATGGGAGGGCTCTCGGGGTTTGGGCTGGCAGAGCAGAGTGAGCGGAGTGGAGTTTGGGTGGGACACCTGGTGGGCAACCAGAACCCTACCGAAAGGGCCCTGGGCTCTGTGCTGGCTGGACAGAGGGCCCGGGGTGTGCTGGGTTGAAGGCTGGGGCAGTCTTGCCCTGCAGCCCATACCTGCCCTCGCTCCAGAGAAACCAGTCAGCCAGGTGGCGTTGAGCCCCACTCTGCCCGGGCTTCTGAGTGCAGCCGGCCACAGAGCTGCCCCTCCTCCAGGGTGATGGGAAATGGGGTGTGTGCATGGCTGTGACCAGTTGTTTGTGTGACTAGCACTGGGTGTGTGGATGAACGTGTATGCACGTGGGTGCACAAGGGTGTTGGAGGGTCTGTCTCTGGGGGAGGTTGTGCGTCTGTGTGTCACTGCCGCTAGCATCTGTGCCGCCAGCAAACTGAAAATAAGCCCTGGTGTTTCCTGCTGCTGCCTTTGGCTCTAGGGTGTCATACAAGCTGCCTGCCTGCGGGGGTGCCAGGTGCGAGGGTGCCCTGGGAGCCAGACGGGCACCGTGGGCCCGAGAAGCAGGTAGAGCCATAGGACAAAGCAGAGTTCTGAGCCAGGGTCCTGCCATGCCAGCTGCAGAGCAGTACTCGGGTACTGTCCCCCCCACCCCACACACACACCCAGCACTGGGCCAGTAACACTGGCTGTGGGTACCCTGGCACTGGTGGCAGGGTGAGAGCCCAGCCTGAGCGGAATGTGCTGGGAATTCACGCTGGGCCATGGACTCCAGGTGGGCGAGGGCAGGGCAGAGTCACCGGCCCTGCTGCAGATGCCCAAGGGATGCACTGTCCTTGCTGCGCAGGGAGCTGCTCCCCCAGGCGGTGGACAAGGGGTGTCAGGCAGGAGGCCAGTAACGATTGTGGGGTCTGGTGACAAGGAGTAGGGAGCGCGCCAGGCTGGATCGGGGCCAAGCAGTCACCAGGGCCTGCTCTGGGATCCCTCCAGCCCAACTCCAGGCCCTGACGGGCAGGATCCCCTCCCCTGGCCCTAGAGAAGCCCAGGAGTGCTGTGGAGCATTTGGCTGGCAATGGCCCAGAGGGAGCGGGTGCCCTTCTCAGGGCAGGGCCGCTGGAGGGGAGAGAGAGCCCAGCTAAGTGGGCACGGAGGGCGAGAGCTGAGGGAGAAGCTGGCGGAGCTAATGCCGTTGCTGTAAGCTTTGCCCAGCAACGCTAGCACACTGGCTTCCCGCACAGGCCAGGATGAGATCACACCGCGATGCTAATGACAGGTGCCGCCCAGCGTCATCACAGAGCTGGGTGTGTGACCCCGCCGGGGCGGGGTAGGAGCGGCCGGCTGGTTCCTTTGTCCCCCACACTCACGGTGAAACTCACACGCCAGGAGTGACTCGGCCTCTATCTATCCCCATCCACCCCCTCCATCTATCTCTCCATCTATCTATCCACATACATCCCCCTATCCCCATCCACCCTTCTATCTATCTGTCTATCCCCATCCACCCCCATCTATCTATCCCCATCCACCCCCCATCTATCTATCTATCCATCTATCTATCTATCCACATACACACCCCATCCCCATCCACCCCTCTATCT